AACCAAAAACCGTACGATTTACAGAATTCTTTTTTTTTTCATATAAAAAGTGATAATAAGTAGATACATAACTAATAAATAAAGAAGCAAAGAAATGGCGTTTAAGTATGAAATAAAATTCGGTTGAAACAATCAGTGTAAAATTTCACTTTTGATATGACAGTTTAATCTGACTTTGAAAAATTATCTAAATTTAAATAAATGAGTTATTGCGCGATTTATCCCAGATTAAACAATTTGTAAAAGTAATATGTCAACCAATAGTCATCTAGAAATTGCATATGGATGATTTATTTTCCAAAATCATTTTACGTTTCATACAAGTTTTTATTAAAATTTCAATGATAATGGTTCCATAGTTTGAAAAATCAAGGATTTGTGGCAACATTAAAATTATGTAACCTCTGAAAAATTCTTACAAAATGATAACAATAAAAACTCTCTTCCCACTCCACGATTTTATTTTCTTAGTTCAAAAGTCTAATTTTTTTTTTCAGTAACATACATGTGAACAGCAAGTATAATATAAAAAAAAGACTTTTAAATTTACAACGTCTTTTTACGCCTGACAGATTGCAACGCTCGTAAACAATTTAGTAGCTCAGACGAATCTTTAGCAGAACTTCATGAAGTCTATAAACTCACTTTTGTATTTTTGGCAATGTTCATTTTCTCTAAGTGACAATTTGTATGTAGGTCTAAGAATATTTCACTTGTGAGTTATGACCACAATTAAACGGGTAAATTATTCATTTTCATTCATTATCAAGCAAGGTTTCTGTCAAGTGTTCATCATGTGGCATTCGTTGGAATGCTCAAACAAAAATAAATATAATTTTTTTTCATACTATAGTACAACTTAAAATATTTGTTTTTTAAGTTATGAAAGAAAAAATGCAAATCATTTTAAAAAATAATTATAATTTAGCGTTTTGGGTCTTAGGTAAAATCTTAACGTACTTAATTTATATACGTAATCGATCCTCAAGAAAATAACACCTCAAGGTTTCAGATGCAAGGACTCTTAATTGAATACATTATTCATAAGGATAATACAACCAAGAGGTTCCTTAAGATTATTAACACCTACCTGGTTCTTCAACGCTCCTTAAACGTGGCAACATTCGATTGAAACTGTAATAACACTTTAAAATCTGTGACCCCTTTTTCTATATTATATTTTTTATTTGATATTTATGAATATTACCATTTATATATTGATCGAAATAGTGATATTCACTTATTTACCAATAAAAGGAGAAAAATGAATCAGTTCTAAGATAAAGTTTTGGGTTCTCATGGCCCAAAAATGATTTTATTTTTGTTTTATTTCCTTATCTCGTCTTCTTCTGTCTATTTATATTTGTATGAATGGACTAGAAAATGGACTAACTGTCCACTAACTCGGCAAGAATTGTTTTTAAAGAATCAACCTTCATTGTTTTGCAAGAAAAGAGGCAAAATAGTGAAAGAACGATTCATTTTAAAAGGTTTTTATAAGAATTTTATTTAAGAACCCTGTTCATTCAATGTGTAGCTCGAATAATTTCCTTCATAATTTGTATCAATTACAATAACTAATATCATTGTATCCATTAATCGATTTCAGAAACAATTTAAAATTTGTTGAATATTGGATAATAAAAATTATACATTAATTTAAACATCATTGGTAGTAATAAGTTAAAAATAGGTTATAAAAAATATAAAGCTTTTTTTTTCTAAACCAATTTATAATCATTTTTAGAGTATCTTGCTATATTTTATTATATTTTCAATACAGTTATAAAATTTTTTTTTTTCTTCATGGCTTAATATATAAGTTAACTTTTATATTTAAAAACTTCTATTGGCAAATTCTGTTAAATCAATAAATTTCGTCTAAAAGTAAATTTTTTTATTATTATTATTTATGATATTTACTCCTGGATTAAGAATAAAAATACATTTAGTAAATGTGATAACATAAAATAATAACATGAAAACATTGTTGAGAAACAACCCAGTGGTAGCACTCTAAAAAATTTATTTACAATAGGAGATCTCGAGGACGTCTTCTTTTCAGACGCCTTGGAAGGTTATCAGGGATCAAAGAGGAAACAAGGTTAGAAGAGATGGTTCGGAAGTTAATTATAATATGGAAGGATAGGTATCTGGATTAGGCCAAATCCGAAACATAAAGTACATTAAGGACGTTAAGATTTATTTAAGAAGATTTATTTAGTGACCAAGTAAGGAGCATTGAGAAATTTGATAGCTTTCTGGAACCCCAAAAGTAAAATTTCAATGTTTTTAAATATGCAGTAGGTTCTGAATATGAGAATCCAGCAATTCATGCAAGATAAATATATATGCAATCAAAGCCAATTACTGCTGTTTCTCATTTAACGTGATAATTACTTAAATAAATAAACGATAAAGTTGTACAATAAACCATGAAGTTCATTTTCTAAAAATCTTTAGAACTTTTATATTATTTTTTTTTTTTTACAAACAGTTTCCAAAGGGGCTGTTTGAAAAAGTTCTAGTTTCAAACCCTACTTTTCCCCCCTAAGTTTTTAATTGTTAATTGATTAATTGTTTAATTGATTTTTGATAGCAGATAATGTAGATAGTATAAAGTAGATAGAGGACTAAAGCACACAAGCTGATTATGATCCCGATACATTTTTTACAAACGAGGATATCGTATCATTTGTTATAAATAAAAATAAAATCAATACACAATACGAGAGTAACCATTTTTTTCTAAATTTCTTATTGTGAAATAAATCATTATAAATAATTTTCACCAGAAAAATCTTGATAATTTGGTTTTCTGACTAGTTCTTTGATAAGTTAACAAATATAAAATAATTGAAATTTAACTCTGAGATCTTTTTTTTTTTTCGTGAAACAGTTGCTGAAAGGCCCAAGTAGTGAGTCGTCAGGAACAAGGGTGTAGAGTTAATTTGTCAAGAAAACTTCGACAGAGAATTGGCATCTGCTTCACGGTTTTTTTTTTCGTCATTGATACAGGTTCTATATTTGTAACTGTATTTATTTGTTTCCGATTTGGTTTTCAGCGGATTTACTAGTTCTAAAAGTAAGTTGGCGGCCCAGGAACGCCTACTGCCAGCAGTTATTTCAGGCTCTGTACTCACTTAATATTATTTTTTGATTCTTTAAAAAGTTAAAGTATTCATAAAAATTCTTCTTCAATATTGATTATTTAACGATGTAATCAAAACGTACATTTTGAGCTCCATTCATTACTTTTTAATTTTTTTTTTTTTTACAATTATTGATCTTCATATCTGTTTAAAAAAACGTTTATAAGTTATTAAGATCATTATGAATAAAAATAATAGGCACAACAACATAGAGGAAAAAATATTAATTCATTGCTGGGAAATTGCAAACGAAGCGCTTAGTTTTTTCGTTCCACAAATTTTCAATAAATAACCTAATATTTATATAGAATTCAGTTCGTAATATAAAAGAAGCGATAAAAATATAAGAAATGCTTTTTGAGTTGCATAATTAGTTAGTTTAGTTGAACCCAAAAATATACTAACAGAAAACTTGATTTGAGAATTTATATACTATAAAAACTCAATGATCCCAAATTTAACTGTCCCTACTGTAAACATGATCCAACAGAAGACTATATTTAAAATTGTATTTTAAACTATTATTATCTTCAAATATTTATTCTCTGCTGTCTAACATAAAAAAAAAGTGCTGAACGTCTGCTAAAAAAAATAGTGGATTGTTGGATATATCGTAGCGATTAGGATTTATCAATATGTATGTATGTATGTATGTATATATATATATATATATATATATATATATATATATATATATATATATATATATATATATATATATATATATGTATATATATATTATATATATGTATGTCTGTTTATTTTGGAAGCATTCTTAAAGAGACTTTATATCGTCGGTTTATTGCAAAAGTTGACCTTTTTAAAACCTTATATCACCAAGAATTTCGATGAATTTTCCTTTTGTTAAATCAGAAATTTGTGTTCTTGTTGTAATAATTGTAACTGTATATGATTTATCATAGATATTGTGTAATTTTTCAGCACTTAATCTTTTTTTTTTATATGAGAAGGAATTAGTCGAGGGTGCGGTCAAAAAAATAAAAAAATTAAAATATATAAATAATTTTAATTTTTGCCGACGTTTCGACCCACTTTGCAGGTCGTCTTCAGGGCGTTGGATGTGGCACTGTGGGAGGCGGTTGAAACACTGGCCAGGAGAAAAAAATCCTTATTTTTTTTTTTATAGATGAATAAGATTTTTTTTATCTAAGACCCATAGGAATCTATATTTAAACTAATTACAATATACAGCTAACTGATAAATGTATATACACAATATTCATTGGAACTTTGCTTACCCAAAAGTATTTTAAGGTAAGGGAAGATAAAAAATACCGTAAAATTTCTGCTAAAAATGTATTTGGTGCCTTTTTAACAATAAAACTGACGATGAATTTGACGAAAAAAGTGCCATTTAGTATACAGTTTTAATATATTTATTAGTTTTAAACGCGCGGCTTTCTATAACAAACTCGATTGCATATCAGTATGTTACAAGTTTCTATTTTTCAATATTAATTTGAGATATGAATCCCAAATCCACCTTCTGCAGAAGAGAAGTTCTTTGTCAAATATTCAGTCTATTTAAATAAATTTACGCCAGTTTTATACAGTAATATCGTTAATAAAAAAAAAAAAATAAAAAAGTGAGAAATAATACTTAAAAAGGTTTTTGGTTTCATTCATAATAAAAACTATCAATTATTATTTTTTTTTATTTAGACTAATTATTAATTAAAAGCAAGTACCTAAGATCATAAATTAGGCTGTGAGTGAAATATTGGAACTTTTCTTTTTGATCTTATCAATTAATGCCGCGACGGCAACTTGTCTTTCCTTGGAACGAGTACGCTTAAACTAGCACGTATTACGCAGGCAAAGATAAATTTACCTCCTCATGAGGTCAGCCAAACTAATAACCCGATTTCCTCCCGACCTCCTCCTCCTCCCACCCCTCCTCCCTCCCCAGTAGCTCTCCTCCTTCCTCCCAGTCTGGACGGGATGAGGAGGAATCCTTACCTACTTCACTAATAAACACACTACAAGAGACTTGTTAATATTGTCGATGTACATCGCTCCGAAGGATAGAAGTGCTGTTATGATCTTCTGGTTGTATAGGGTGTGGTTGAGTGAAGAGGAGTGCGGTGATCTGGCCGGTTACCATAAGAGGGCTTATCTCGCCGCTAGAATTATTCAGTGAAACGATACCCCAGAATGACGGCGGCAGTGAGAAGAATGAGGGTGGAGCTCGAAATAGCAAAGATATCTGGGTGAGGCCTTGGGATGATCCTTTTTTAGCAGCCAGTAAGGCTCCAAACTATTTCTTAATTGTTCTTAATATACTAGCGGCCAGCTCTGGCTACTAGAAACAGCACTTTGGGGAAGATTAGCTCACTTATTTCTGTAATTTTTATTTTGTTTTTTTCAAATACAGAGAAGCTCCATAACTCGAGCAAAGAACCGGAGTAAGTTAAACATTTTATTGGCGATTCTAATAAGATATCTAGTTTATACAGTTCGGCTTTCGCTCCCAACAGATTAAAAAAAAAGAAGAAAAAAATATATGTATTCATAGGCAAAAATATATTTACCATTTCTAAATCCAAAAAAATTTTTAAACATAAAAATGTGCGAAAATTCTTTTATAAAACGCTGAAATTATGCAATGATATGAAAAGCTATTAATATTTTAAAGTTAATTATTATAAAAAAAAAAAAATTCAAAACGTAAAAAAAAAATCAGTTTATGAATTACGTACATGTAAAACATTTTAACAAATAATTACAGACAATATTCTTCATATATTTCTGTTTAAAAGAAATTAAATGAGTTGTTTATTTCTACAGCGATCATATTTGACAATTATTTTTGGAAATATGACTAAAAAAGATAAAATGTAACTATAAAAGACTACATCATAGTGGGTATTGTAGTAATTAATTCAGGAGAAGTTGTTTGGGATTTTATTTTTAGTTCTTTTGTGGCGACATTTCGGCCTAAGTCTCAGGCCCTCGTCAGGGCTTAGCAAAGGCAAGATAATATATTATATTATTACAAAAGACTATTTTAAATTCCAATCGTAGTATTAAAATCAATATTTTATAATAAACAAATTAAGAATTTTTTTGTTGGTAACGTATACCTTCGAATCATATTTAAAAATCATTATAAACTTGAACAGGGCCGCTTATAGAAAGTACTAAACTTCAAGTTAAAAAAAAAAAATGTAAAAATAATGTAGGGAGAAATTTTAAAATAAAAATAAAATGTTTGTTTAAAATAATATTAATTTATTTTTAACTGGTATGGAGATGGTTGACCGTGATTAAGAATAGTATTTATTATATATTATAATAAATAGTATTTAATTAGACCGCACCCCCGACCAACTCCTTTTCATAATTTATTTTTTATTTTCAATTAAATAAATTAACAGTAATAATTAAGCTTGAGATTAATTATTATTTTAAGAATATTGAAGAAATTCAAACAAGCCATAAGATTCTTAGATAAAAAAAGTTAGTTTCTGAAATGCATTTGTTTCCATATAATTTTTTTAATATTTAGATTCGTTTAAAAAAAAAAAAAATAATCACGTCATCAGATTCATTAGGTGTTTTTGCATGGAAATTTATATTATCTGAATTTTAAAAAAATCGATTACTTCGGATAGAAGTGACTCAGATAAAGTAATTTATATTTAAGTTATATATTTATATAGTAAGTTATATTTAAAATCAGAGCGGTATACAAATTAGAACCATACCCTGATAAAATTACTTTTCAGTTTCTAGACTATTCTCTGAACTCTGACTGGTAGTTTGTAAGTTAATTATATATTTATATAGTAAGTTATATTTAAAATCAGAGCGGTATACAAATTAGAACCATACCCTGATAAAATTACTTTTCAGTTTCTAGACTATTCTCTGAACTCTGACTGGTAGTCTGTAAACCAATAAGTAATACTTTGTAACAATTCCGACATTATTTAATTTCAAGTAAGTTAATTTTGTATTTACAACCATTATACAAATTAAGTATAATATTCAGTTATTTTTCTAAAATAATAATTTGATTTTTCGTTGCAATATATATATATATATATATATATATATATATATATATATATATAAATATATGAATAAAACTTTTATAAAAGAATTAAGAGGACGATCTTACGTTCGAAGGCTTAAATTGAAAGATTGTTAACACAGACAAGAATAAACAAGGTTTTGGGCAGTAGACCTACTAATAGGAATTGTTTTGTTTATACGAAGAATAAATAGAATAGGTCTTAAAATTGCTCCTTGGGAGGCGCCAGGAAATGTTCTCTCTAAACTCGTAACACATACCATATATTTTTATACGGATTTTCATGGCAATGATCAAGTAAAACGATAACATATGTATCAATATATAAATTAATTTTTATCAATAATCTATTTATCAATTTCAATAATTTAACATGTATTATCTCTCATACCATCTAAAGATCAATGTTTCGAATTTAAAAAAAAAAAAAAAAAAAATATAGACTTTTTATATTTATCTATTTCTGCTACAAAGTAGAATAAAAATCATTCTTATCATCTGAACTCTGTTTTCATGGCACTACTCCGGGTTTCTTTTCATGTGATATATATGTATTATCTGTTAATGTGTTTTGTTTAAATATTAAATGGTAGTAGGTAATTATAACGGATCTCAACTTTTTTTTTTGTCACAGCATCCTTGTCGGACTAAAAAATATTTACAGTACCCTTCTTTAGATATAAAAAATCGAAGTACCCCTGTCAAAGAAAATTCATACCACCACTGCCAGACAGAAAAAAATCTTAACTCAATTACACTTAAAAAGGGATATAATGGAATCTTTACTGGGTACAAGATATCTGTAGATCAAATAAAATCTTCCTCAGATATAGTTTTAAAATTGATTAATTTTAATTTTAATTCAGTTTTTAAAAAATATAAATTTATGTACTTTTAGGAAGGATATTCACCAAACCGACAATTTAAAACTTTAAATATTAAATAATGAAATTAAATATTATAACTCACCACGCCTTGTAGCACCGAGTTTGAAAAAAAAAAACCTTTTATTGTACAATATATCTAATGATATTTTAGATTTCAATTTTTAATAATCAGTGAACATTGATGACAAACACTAGAATTTCCACAAAATATTTAAAAAATAAATAAATTTGAATATATGAAATACATTAACAGATACCATTCGACTTGAAAGAACAAATTACTAACTTCGTTGCTGTTTATTATTTTATGCAAATCGACACTGGGATCGGGAGACCCTTCTGAGCCATACTCAGCCTCTATAAAGAGGATGGTATAAATTAAATAATTGATTAAGGAAAAAAAAAACCTATCGGTTTAATGTTATCTCGTCCAACTAACCTTGTAATAATCGTTAACAAAGAAACAATGTTTCTTTTACAAAGTACTAAATATGTTATCATTTAGCATGATCATTATGAAAATATTTGTATGTGTTACTAGTTAAAAGAGAATATTTCATGGCGCCTCCCAAGGAGCAGTTTTAAGACCTATTCTATTTATTCTTCTTATAAACAAAACAGTCCCTATTAGTAGGTCTGCTGCCCAAAACCTTGTTTATTCTTTTCTGTGGTAACAACCATTCAATTTAAAGCTTCGATCCTAAAATCATCCTCTTAATTCGCTTATGAAAGTTTTATTGATATATTTTTGTTTGGTTTCTTACATTGTTATATATATATATATATATATATATATATATATTGTAACGAAAAATCAAATTATTATTTTACAAAAATAACTGAATATTATACTTAATTTGTATAATGGTTATAAATGCAAGAGTAACTTATTTGAAATTAAATAATGTCGGACTGTACGAACGTATTACGTATTGGTTTACAAACATGGGTTGTATTATTTAAGGGTTTTTATATTTAAATTTATTACTCATTGAGGCTGATTCGAGTAAATTTTATTTACTTTTATTTCCAGTAGTTATGGTGCTAACTTGAATCTCGTTTGGAATTCAAAAAAATCGCAATAATACGAAGAAATATCCAAATCTAATTTAGGGCCAGATAGAGCAGAGTGGGCGTAAGTTACACTTATAGACTGAGTATAAATCGGGCGGGTATACATAATTCATCGCGGGTACTTAGGGCCAGGCTCTTGAAAACAGTTGAACCATCAGCTTGAATATAGATTCTTTGATGTATTGTACAGCGGCGATTAATTCGCTTGCTTAAAACACGGGGCGAGCCTAAAGACCTTCTCAAATGCCAGTCCGAAAGGTCACACTTGAAAGGGTCCCTAAAGACAACTCTCCGGCAGGGTCACTTCGTTAGTTTTGGAGAAATATTAACAAGAAAATATTTTCTAACTGACAAAAGGGGCATCTGTGTGACATCAAAATTTTTTCTTAGGTTTTTAAAATTTTATTTCATTACTACCGTTCAGAGTACATGAGTCATTATCATTACAAAAAAAGTTGGGCAAAACTTGATTCCCAAAGAAGTAAAAGAAGAATTTAAACTTATCTAATTCATTTATATCATATCATGTCACTTATTAACCTGATATAGTAGTCCGTATATATGTAATAGGTAGAGACCACTTTTCATCGAATTATTAACATCCACCTAAAACTTCGTAAATAGTTTCATCTCATCGTAACCTACACTATTTTATTTACGAAAACTCTTGGAATTGGGGCGTTTTCAATCTGGAGGGGCGCAAACTTTGTCTACTTAATTAGGTAGTAATAATTTGATCACAAAAACGAGAAAAAAGTGACCTTCAAAAATATTGAGCCGTTTGACATACAACAAAAATTTTTCAAAATAACGAGGTTATAAACGACAAACGGCCCAAAATTTTTGTAGGCTACCTTTTTTCTCTATTTTGTATATTTAGCGTGAATGTGAACTTACCTCACTATAACTAATATCCAAGTGAAAGAATGTTGTAATATTTAATAAATAAAAAAAGATATAGTTTATAACACGGATGTACGAAAAGGGAATACATTGCGCAAAGTGTACCATCAAAATTTTAGAGGAATTATTACAAATTTTTACGGGGTTATGAGTTTTTGAAGGAAAACATATGTTTATGGAGTTTAAATTTAGAGGAGCTTTTAAACCAGCTACCAAGGGAGGACAAACCACAAGATAGAACAAACCACAAGATAGAACAAACCACAGCAAGTGTGATTGAATATGATTTAAAATACTTCTAATTCAATTATCTCTCGCACTGTTTTTGTGTTTTTGATCAGGTTAACGTAACATTTTGTATTTTTTAGGAGCAAAAATGATGAATTATGTGCTTTTGATCATGCATTAGTGATTGTTTTATTATCTCCCCTTTTCGTCC